CCACGCTTGTGGCTACACAACTAGATGTTCCTCTTACTGCCTTGTACTCTAATTTTTCCCCATCTGGGCCTATCGTGTTGAAATGACAGAGTGAGAGAGAATGGTCTTGGGCTTATCTTGGATTTGTAGGTCTGGGATAGGGACGTGTTCACCCTCACATTACAGCATTACTATTGACATCTGGCCATGCTTGCACCATGATAGAAAGGCAAAGGTGTCCATTTCCAAAATCATTTTTATTAGCAGAAATGACAAAAGGGCAAGAAATGACCAAAGGCAGAGATCAATTTCCTCCTGTGGAACCTGTAAGAAAATACACACCAAATCATTGAAATGAGGAAATCTCTGGGCCTCTCAGCCTGTGTCGCCTTAGACATGGAGCCTGGTTCCAGTTTATTGCTGAACCCATTGATCTGTGTACAGTCCATTTATCATTCATGAAAAGAGCTAGTGATCTTCACAGTATATTAGAAGAAACAACTCAGATCATCTGTCAACAGCCCTCTTATTTCTGTTTCCCTCTCCACAGGGATTTCATCCCCTTCGATTCTTCTGGAATTAAAATGTTGCTAAGCAACACAGCTGGGGGCGCTGATGGCAGAATGGCTACAGTCTATCAAACTGTTTAAGCACCTGGAGGGTTTTAGTGATGATTTTTTTTTCATATTTCTGTAGCATAATTATGTAATCAGAACCAAACTTGTACTCCCCTAGACTTTTTCTGGCTATAGAAATAACATTTAATACAGAGCACTGAAGTAATGGTTTGACTCCTCAGGGTTGTTCAAACCCTTTTAAAAAGTATCCATTTGGGGCCCTTCATATTTGTGACTCCTGGAGGTGAAGAAGGGCTAGGGAGACAAAAAGAATGTTGCTGGAAATGAGAATGTACAGGTAACCAACATTTTAAAAAATTGCTATAGGGTGCATGCACTCCCTAGAGACAGAGAGAGAGAAAGTGAGCAAACACCCTCCATGGGGGATGGCCCAAGGATGACCCAATGATAATCCTTTCTCCTCCAATCTCCTTTTGCGATTTTGGGCATGCATGCACATGTACCTTGCATGTTTCTCAAGCAGTCTGGTTCTGGAGTTGAACCACACAGTTGGCCGGCCATGTGGGATCCAGCCACCTTAATCAATACACCACTAGCTGGCCCCTAGAGGTCCCCACTTTTAACAGAGACATTATGTAATCTAACACTGGACATGATATTCTGGATGATCAGTGATATTCAGCATTCTAAACCTCCCCATTCACATCAATTCCACACACTTAAAAGCAATTTTAAAAATCAGAGGGGACCAGAAGATGGTATAGTGGTTATGTTACTGGACTTCCACATGGCTCACTGCAGTTTGAGTCCTGGACTCGGCAGTTTGAAATTCACACTGGGCACATGTGCATGCTTGCCCAATATCCTGAGAGAATGGAGGAGAAGGGATTGCAGCATGGTCATTCCTCCAGGAGGTGATTTCTTGCTTTCTCTTTGTCTCTCTGTCTCTCTGGCAAGCACATGTGCCCTATAGCGTAAATGTCTCAAACAAACAAGTAAACAAAATTACAATTAAAGTGTAATAAGCATCTTGTTGTGAGTTCAGCCCAACACCCCAGGTTTGTCTTTGGAACTTGGAGTCCTGCGGATTTGCCTCACCACCTACTTCTTGAGTCCCACACACCCACCAGGTAACTGGGGTTCCAGTCTTGGCTGGCCTCTCATCATCATTAGCCTCTGAAACGTGGGGCCCTGCAGCCACATATTCTGCTTCCTGAGCCTTGCTCACCCACTGGGAGACTTGGGTTCTGGTCCCAGCAGGACTCTCTTCATGAATGCAGCCCAACTCTCCCCCCTCACTTTGCCTTTGGAACTTGAGGCTCTGTGGTTTCTCCCCCTCATCTACTTCCTGAGCCCCAGCTGCTCACCAGGAGACTTGGGTTCCAGTCCCAGCAGGTCTCTCATCATGAGTACAGCCCAATGCCCAATGCCTTTGGAACTTGGGGGCCCTTTGACCCACATGCTGCAGCACAGCACATGACTTGAGCTTCTTCACTAAGTTATATCTCTATAGCTCATCCTCAGCTCATCAAGAGCTGAAAGGCAGGTAGAGGAGCCAACTATCTGAAGGCACTTAGACAAATTTTATCTTCTCTGATCTGAAAGACACAGTCCTCGAACAGGAACACACCTGGGATTAAAGGTGATATCCCCTCCTCTGATACTACAGAATCTACTCTAAAAAAAGAAGTGAATACTGCATCAGGTGACCAAAAATAATCACAAAGCCAGAAAAAAAACATGAGAAAACAAGGAAATACCTCTTCCCCATGGGAACACAATAATTCCTCACCAAGAAAAGACAGCACAAAATAATTCGCAAAAATGTCAGAAAAAGAATTCTGAACATTCATGGAGACAAAACTCAATGAGATACAAGAGAAAACAGACAATCAATTCCAGGAAATGAGAAAATCATTCCAATATATGAAAGAGGAATTACATAAAGAGATAGAGATCCTGAGAAAGAATCAAATAGAACTTTTGGAAATGAAGAATACAATACAAGATATTAAAATCTCCTTTGAAAGCAGTAACAGCAGACTGGACCATACAGAAGAAAGAATTTCTGATCTTGAAGACCAAGTCTCCAACACAGACCAAAGCACCAAAAAGAATGAAAAAATACCCCCTGTAAGTGAGGATAACATACGGGAAATTAAAGACATTAAATGCCCATATATCCATATAATGGGTATTTCAGGAGGTAAAGAAGCTGGTGAAGGCATGAAATAGTATATAAAACTTTCCAAATCTAGAGAAACATGGGGAAATTCACACTCAAGAAATAAAAAGAATTCCAAATAGAATCAACATATGAAGTCCTTCCACCAGCACATCATAGCCAGATAGGTAAAAATCAAAGACAAAAACAATATTCTACAAATGGGAAAAAAAATCAAGTTGCTTACAAAGGTTATCTTATTAGGCCAACATTAGTCCTCTCAACTGAAACAATGCAGGAAAGGAAAGAATGGGAAGACATATTCAGAATGTTAATTTTATTTATCTTTTTGTTGAGAGGATTTTTGCTATAGGGCACATGCGCTTACCAGAAAGACAGAGAGACAGAAAGTGAGAAATCATCCTATTTGTGGGACACAGAAATGGTTTATTACCTATTGATGATAATGTGTAAAATATTCACAACTGCACTGCTCTGAGATGCATTTCATGTTGGGTAAATTCTCTTTACAAGTCAAATGATGCATAGCAATTAAATGTTTTAAAAAATAATAAAAAAATTTCGGGCGCGTGTGCGTGCGTGCCCAAGATCCCGAGAGGAGAATGGAGGAGAAGGGATTGCGGCGTGACCATCCCCCCTGGGGGGTGATTTCTCGCTTTCTGTCTCTATGTCTCTCTCTGTCTGTCTGGCGAGCGCACGCGCCCTACAGTGAAAATCTCTCCAAAAAAAAAAAAAAATTTTAAAGTGAAAAATAAAGAATAAAGTAGGACATCTTTCACTTCCTGACCTCAAAATATATTACAAAGCTATGGTAATCTAAACAGTATAGTACTGCCACAAAACAGGCAGGTAAACCAATGGAACTGAACTAAAAACCCAAAAGTCAATCCCAGAACATACGGCCAACTTTTCAAAGAGCACAAGACAATCCAGTGGAGAAAAGAAAGTGTCTTTAGCAAATGGTGGTAGAAAAATTGGATATTCACCTGCAGAAAAATGAAACTAGACCCCTGTCAACTTAAAATTGATCAAGAATTTAAACATAAATTTTCAAAGTATAAAACTGCTGGTGAAAACACAAGGGTAGGGCAAGACAGCCCCCCCCCCCCCAAAGCCCAGACAATAATCTCACAAATAGTCAAGTGGCACTACATCAGACTAAAAAGCTTCTGCACATCAAAAGAAACAATAATTAGAGTGAGGAGACAACTCTCAGAGTGGGAGGATATATTTGCAAACTATGCTTCAGATAAAGGACTGAAAGCCAGAACATACAGAGAACTCAAGCAGCTTATCCACTGGGAGGCAAAAAAATAAATCCAATAAAAAGATGGGCAAATGAGCTGAATAGACAACTCCCGAAAGAAGACACATGGATTGCCAATAAGTATAAGAAAAATGCTCAACATACCATGAGGGAAATGCAGATAAAAACTACAGTCAAAATGGCTAACATTAAAAAAAAAATAAAGAATAAGTGCTAGCAAGGCTGTGATTAAAAAAGGAACCCTCCTATACTCTTGGTGGGAATGTAAATTAGTACAATGTATTTGGAGAAAAATGTGGAGGATTCTCAGAAGCCTTCCAATAGAATTACCATAAAATTCAGCAATTCCATTCTTAGGCATCTACCCAAAGAAAATGAAAATATATGACTGTATAAAAAAAAAACAAAAACCTTACACACACATGTTTATTGCAGCATTATTTACAATCAACCCAAATGTCCATGAACAGACCAGTGGATTGAAAAAATGTGGCTGGCGTACTCTGTGGAATACTATTCAAGTCATAAAAAAGTAAAATCCTGACATTTGATACACAATGGACAAATACGGAAGATTTAATGCTCAGGAAAGGAAGTCAGACTATGAAAGGCAGGCCTTGTATGTCCTTGCTTAATATATACTGAATGCCTGTGCTCTATACAGAAACTGAAAGATTGGAAGGTTATTATAGAGGGAGAGCAACTGTAGATACTAGAGTATA